CGATCGGCTGCGTGGTGGCGCTGAACGCGCTCATCCTGCGTGCGCACAGACGCGGCGTGCGGCGGCGGCGGCGGACGCTGCGTGGCGCGGCGCGGCAGGGCGGCGCTGCACGGGACGCGGCTCGCCGCCTGCTGCCGCTGCTGCTGCTCGTGTCGGCTGTGTTCGTGTTCGGGACGCTACCGATGGCCGTGGTCACGCTGCTGCTGTACGCGCGCGGGGGCGAGCGGGGCGCGGTGCTAGCCGCCGCCATCCCCGCCGCCAACCTACTCGAGCTCATCACCTACGCGACGAACTTCTACCTGTACAGCGTCGGCAGCTCAGACTTCCGCCGCAGCTTCAGCGAGGTCTTCTCCGCCTGCTTCCGCCGCCAGGTGGCGCCGCCGGCCGTCAACGACCTCGCGGCGACCAGCTCCGTCTCGCACGCGGCCTCGATGCAAAATGGCGGCGTAGCAAAGTCGCAGGCGACGTGGGAACACGGGAGTCGAGACGCAGCAAGCGCCGCCCTGGCGGACGACCGAGTCGACGACGAGGTTCCGAACGCGCTCGTGCCGTTGAGTGTCTCACGATCTGATGGCACCACGAACGGCGATCTCGCACGGAGCAGGGTCGACACGGAGGCGACACGGAATGACAGCTCAGGGTACGCGCAGACGTGCTTAGCTGTTACTCATCCCGACACCGTCATTACAGCAGTGGAAGAGAACGCTGTCGCCGCGCGTGGTGTCGGGGCCGGGGAAGATGAGACCCTGCAGACAGCTTCACGATGACGTGGCGGGGGGAAGCTGCGAAGGTCGTCAAAAGACGACCACAGATCGTCAGTACACGGACGAAGTGAAGTTATTACCCGTGAAGAGCAGGGATAGGAGGCCGCGACCCACTGCGTGATTGTGCACAGGCCACACTCGTCATTCGTTATACAGAAAAGAAAAGGTTTTTGCTCGCAGAAAGACATCACCGAAATAATTGTTTAAGCGCATAGTGTTTCGCCAGTTTCAAACATGATGGGTAATTATCATGATGCGACTGCGACGGACATGGTCGCTGTTATCCCGTAATAAAACACTACAGTGTAATATTCATGATGATGATGACGTCGATTAATCGTGCTGCTTTAATACAAGTATACCTCTCCCACACACTCTCTCTCTCTCTCTCTCTCTCTCTCTAACCCTCGCTCTCCCGCTCTTTCTCTTACGCTGCCGCTCTTCCTCTCTGTTTTCACCCTCTCGCTCTCGCTCTCCCCATATATATATAATATCTTACTATAATTTGGCGAATGTTGTATGTATGTATGTATGTTAATGAAAGGCTCCGTCAGTTTGGATCCAAATAGCGCCAAATTCACAGAAGAGATCGATGAGTACACGGGACGGGTTCTAAACTATACTCGGTTGAAAACCGTAAAAAAGGGCTTTAAAAAGACAACAAAAAAAACTAAAAGGAAAGATTTGCCTGAAAATAGGGGCGCTGTTTTGTTTTCGTTTTTGTTCTGTGTATGTTTGTTCTGTGTGTGTGTGTGTCTGAGATTTTTGTAAGTTCAATAATGTAAGTAGAACGAACCATGTAATAATCAAGTTAAATATTCAGTAGCTATTTCGGCATAGTTTCCATATGAGATGTACAAGTTGAATTTCATCAGAGCAGAATTTTTTTAGAAGTCTGCAATGCTGTACAGTGTACGGGTGTCTTGAACAGCGAGCTGTCACAAGCGGTCCGATCACAAGCACGTAATATTACGTTGTCGCGCACAGAGTGCAACATGCGTAGAAATAAGCGATCACAACCATGCAATATTACCTGGTCCGCACACAGTGGAAACATGCGAAGCACGTAATATTACGTGCTACGCAGCCAAGTGGTTAATCAGTCGCCCGACCTACCAGCCCATTCAGATCTATCTATATTCTAACTTTGGAGTCCGTATCATCAACCAGTAGTTCCTACATAGCATACAATAAAACATTTTTGTGTGTGTGCGCGCGTGCGTGCGTGCGTGCGTGTGTCTGTATTTCACTGTGTGCTTGCCAAACAAATGGTTAATGTGTCACGTGTAAGCATGATTGTACATGTTTTGTATTGACATCTCAACCATAAAAAACAACCATGTGCAACACTAAACTCTCCATATAACACCTTTACACATAACACTACTGTACTGGTAACACATGCATCACAGTCACTAAGCCGCGCGCTAGCGCGGGTTTCAGCTAGTATATATAATTATGCGTGTGTGTAAGTATAAATGTACATCCCTCTCGCGCGCGGCCTATCTCTCTTCTCTCTCTCTCTCTCTCTCTCCTCTCTCCTCTCTCTCTCTCTCTCTCTCTCTCTCTCTCCTCTCTCTCTCTCCTCTCTCTCTCTCTTTCTCTCGCTTTCTCTTTCTCCTTCTGCGTTGCTTTTTCGCACTCAACCTGTTAAGAAGCATCCATCAGTTGCAATAGCTGATATACTCCTGATAGCATCGAATCCTGCCCGCCTTACTCTACGAAACACCAGAAAATCTTACTATCAGCAGCAGGTATTTTCGCCCCATCATCCGATGTTTGTCGAACAGATATAAACGTCTGTAGTCTGGGAAAATTGTTCAGAGAGCGACAGCGAAGCTGAGAGAGAAAACACGGGCGAGATAGCGCGCAAGCGCGAGAGCAAGCAAGCAAAGGAGAAATAAGGGAGAGAGAGAGAGAGAGAGCCTTTGTGCTTATCAATGCTTTCATCAGCAGTGACTAATGCATCGCCGCCTCCTAATATCAGCTAACTACATTTCAGTTTATTTACACGCGAAAGTGAAAATGAGCGAGTGAGTTCTCAGCCGGTGGGTATATATAATATGTGTAATAGCGTAAACTGTATATACGGACAAGAGCATGTTGGGTTTCTCGTGTTTTTACTCAATACGAGATATTTCTGTATTTAACTTTGCATTCTCGATAATGGATCGTCGCTCCTTCGATATGAATATGTGTGTGTGTTTGTGTGTGGTGTGTGTGTGTTGTGTGTGTGTGTGTGTGTGTGTGTGTGTGTGTGTGTGTGTGTGGTGCGTGCGTGCGTGCGTGTATGTGTGTGTGTGTGTGTGTGTGTGTGTGTGTGTGTGTGTGTGTGTGTGTGCGTGCGTGTGTGTGTGTGTGTGTATGTGCGTGCGTGTGTGCGTGCGTGCGTGCGTGCGCGTGCGTGCGTGCGTGCAGTTTCCCGTATCTACCTTCAATTCTGGTCCAATTTATTCCCGTTGCAATTACGACCGCGATGCTTCTAGCTTTTACATACGACTCCATGTCTAATTACAACTATGAGAATGGCAATGTATGGTGAAATGCTAACGAAAGACGAGAACGTACACGTGACACGCTTCCAATATAAATACCTTACCGACCATGTATCAACCTTCCCTGCTTTCAATCTCATGCGAATTGCTTGCCCTTGTCACATAGCCGCCAGGGGTATAACAGAGCATGAATATAGCTGATGAAGCGAGAGTTCGTATCTAAAAACCTCCCTTCACATCGCTCCACATCCCTTTACAATGCCGCCACCCATAGCGCTATATCGCCCCCTCCCTCCACAACGCCTCCACCCATAATGCTACGTCGCTCCCTTCCTCCACAATGCCTCCACACATAATGCTACGTCGCTCCCTCCCTCCACAATGCCTCGACCCAAACGATATCACGCCCCTCCCTCCACAATGCGTCTAAATATAGCGCTACCTCGCTTCCTCCCTCTACAACGCCTCCATCCATAACGCTATCACGCACCTCCCTCCACAATGCTTCCACATATAGCGCTATCACACCCCTCCCTCTACAATGCCTCCACATATAGCGATATCACGCACCTCCCTCCACAATGCTTCCACATATAGCACTATCACGCCCCTCCCTCTACAATGCCTCCACATATAGCGATATCACGCACCTCCATCCACAATGCCTCCACCCATAACGCTATCACGCCCTTCTTTCCACAACGCCTACGCCACTGCCGCCATGCACACAAACGTGTTCCCAACAAAACCGCCCACGTCCAACCGCTTCGCTCCAGAACGTCAAACGCGACAACGGAATTGCAATTTTCACATTGTATCGTTTTTGTTCGCAGTTCTAACATCCTTATATCCGGCAGCCGGCAATAACCGTAGAGGAGTTAGTGGTGCGGAGGGTCGCACACAAGCGCGCGTTAGTCACCGAATGGAATTGCTGTCGAGTGAGAAGCCAAAAACCGCTAGCTATCAGTACTAACGAATAACACCGATGTGATGCGTAATGAAACCCAATGAAAAAAATGGGGATATATGTGAGGCTGTGAATACACAGGGCGTTACGAACTTGCTGGTTAACACGCGGAAACCCAACACCTAGATATATGTAACAGATTATGAGTTAGGTAGACACTGTCTGGCTTCGTAATATGTCAAAATTTGAACCTAGTAAATCTGTATTATATTAAATATGGTGAAATGGGTTCGTCGTTGACTCGGTCGTGACGTCATCACTGACCTTTTCAGTGCGCCCATGTGTGCGTTCAGTTTATATTTGAATAAATTCATATCGACGTTTAAAATTTTAAATTCATCGTTCCACAGCTCATACTCACACGGTTATATTATTCGTGGAGGAAAGTGAGAAACTTAAACCCCCTAGCCAAACGCTAAAACACTAGTCCGGGTTACCGTACGACAGGCAATGTAGTTCGCTGATTCGCTGCCATGCGCCACGCGCTGCGTCTGTGATAATGACAGTCCGGGCAGTGGACATGCGGACCACCGATTTCTGTTACCAATCAATTCCATCGTTGGGAGAGTCGGGTAATACTAATAGAGTACATGATTTGCGTTTTGCTTTTGATATCACATAAATGCAATACAATTAGGGCTAGAGTTAAGGTGACAGAAAGGATTAGGGGTAGGATTACGGTTTGTCCAATTGATGAAGGTAGATAATGAAATATCTACTTACTCATTGCAATTAATACAATAAGCCCGATTTTCCGTTCGCAGTCGCTCTCACCTTGTTTAGTAGCGTCACGGCAAGTGTCCGAGAGGCTAGGGCTGAGGTCATACCAGTAGGTGGAGCCAGCGGCGAATGCTCCGCGCGTTACTGCCAAGTACACACCTGTAACGACAACGATGACGATACCTTACAACGTGTGTGTGTGTGTGTGTGTGTGTGCGTGCGTGCGTGCGTGCGTGCGTGCGTGCGTGCGTGCCGTTGTTGAATTGCGATCAAGATTATTCTTTATATTTAATCACGTGACATGCGTCGCGCGATTTTAGTGAGAATGCGCTGAGTGACGTTGTTTCTAATTTATGATGCTTCCGGTAGCTTTTATATATGTTTTACTTCCGTTACTGATGATTAAATAGAGCTTCGTGGCTGAGGTTCGCTTATTTCACGACAAACAGTGTAACGGATTTAAGGCAAAAACGTGCGATTTTGTACGAGAAAATCAGTTTGCTGTAAACGCGCTTGCCATTCGGAAAACATGGCTTAACAAAATCCCGGTATGTGCTTGCTAACAAATTAAAGCAAAACGTTAGTAGCATTGTGTGAGTTTATCCTGCAGGCGGGTAATCAAATGTATAGCTAATACGCGAAAGAATACGAAATAATTATACGTCATACTATTTTAATCACACCAGTCGGTCTGCTGGTAATTTCTTATCCACATCCACTCGCAGTTATTACAATTTACAAACCGATCCCTAACACGCCTGCAACTAGCTTCTCTACTTATTCGCGCTAATAATATTCCCTCGCGCGCTCTCGCTCGCTGTCTGTCTCTCGTCTGCTCTCACCCCTGTTCCCTAGTCGGCACGTCGGCACATCAGTATAACTGGCTCGATGCGCCCCCCCCCCCCCAACAGCCGTCGTCTGCGCGGTTAACGTATTTTCACACTTGCGGATGTAATAATTATATAGACTACAGCTAGTCCACTATTCGTATCTTCCACCAAACACATATATATTAATATATTATACATATATACTTACAATATATATACATATATACTTACAAGAAGAACGCGTTAAGAATGCAATACCCTAACACAATATACACAATATCGCGCACACACACATTTTTGCACACACGCAGATCCTTATTACGTATATACAGTTCCCGACATACGCTTAACTAACAACTGCGAAACTAATTACTAGTATCACACTAACGCGCGTGCACTCGTACAACCCTGACTTACACTTCTCTGACTGTCTATACCAATCATACAGCCACACACGCTAACGCGTACCTTCGTATCTCACGCTCCTACGGCACGTATATATATATACGTTATACTCATAAAAGGACACTATGCGTGGCTCCTTTCCCTACTCACTATGTCTTTTTAACTTTCTAACAATTGATTTCTTAGCACATTTATTGCTTTATTTATTGATATCTTGCTCATGGCCAGCTAGTGCATTCCTTTTCTGTGCCACTTTACCGGCTACGAGTTTCTGACACGAGGAAATTATCACTGGACTCTAGCATGCAACCAAGCAACGTAAGAGGCAGATTGATCCTGTACTAGTTCACTAGCGCGCGCTCTCACGTAAGTGGTCAATTAAGAAGCGACGGCTCCCGGACGGCTCCACTTACGCGTGTTTGTTCTGAAATACAAAGCATCTAATGGAGTATGGTCTTTCGCAGTTACTCTAGTAGTTAGAGTGGACGGGTGAATGAGTAGCGCGGGTGCGGAGGGAGTGGGTGACAGTGTGTGTGCTGGGGATAGCTGCGCGTTGATGGACGGCAGTGTTTGGTTGGGTTGCGGGAGCAGCTTGTAGGTTGACCAGGTTATGGCCAGCTCACATGTGAAAAGAGTCGGGACATGAGGGTGAGGGTAGGGGCATGGCGCGTGTGTGAGGGCACGAAGGTGCTTATGCATGGCCATTAGAGTAAAGGCAAAGTGTAAAGGCAAGGCCTTGAGCTTAAGGCCAAGAGCTTAAGGCAACGTTCATGTTGGAGGGTATAAGGGTGAGTCATTTCCTGTCATAACAAAAAATACAAATTAACCAAGATATAGCTCGATCTACAAGGGTGCGGTTAGGGTTAGCATGCATGTTGGGGGCAGCACGTGCTGGAAAAAGTGAAAGCACTATGAAGGAAGGGTAGGAGCAGCAGGAGGCTGGGTAGGAGTGGGATGGGCGGGAAAGCAGCAGATGGTAGAAGTGGCAGCTTGTGAAGGGCAGCTAGAGGAGGCTGAAAAGGTTACACAATGCTGGTGGTGAGGCAGGGTCGTGGCAGCAGAGAGATGCAAGCCGCTGCATAACATGGGAGGGTGGCATAGGATACCATCTTATGTTATTACTGTTTATGGAATTGAATACATGACTGTCTGAACTTGGAACTGCGCATATACACGTTTAGTTGCACCAGGAACTACGTGCATGTTTAGTTGCACCAGGAGCAATATACATGTTTGGTTGTACCAGGAGCTATATACATGTTTGGTTGCACCAGGAGCTATATACATGTTTGGTTGTACCAGGAGCAGGAGCTATATACATGTTTGGTTGTACCAGGAGCAATATACATGTTTGGTTGTACCAGGAGCAATATACGTGTTTTGTTGCACCAGGAGCTATATATATGTTTGGTTGTACCAGGAGCTATATACGTGTTTTGTTGTACCAGAAACTATATACATGTTTGGTTGTACCAGAAACTATATACATGTTTGGTTGTACCAGGAGCTATATACGTTTTTGGTTGTACCAGAAGCTATATACGTGATTGGTTGTACCAGAATCTATATACATGGTTGGTTGCACCAGGAGCTATATACATGTTTGGTTGTACCAGGAGCTATATACATGTTTGGTTGTACCAGGAGCTATATACATGTTTGGTTGT